GCCATCCTCGCCCTCTTGGGACCCGGAGAGAAAGGAAACTGCTCTTTTTTTGAGGTTTTGGGTACCACTGGCTGGGTACAAAACAGGAACAAAGGATTCTCCACCCAGCCCTCCTCCGGGGGAAGGAGTGGTGCGGTCACCACCTCCTGAAGAGCAGGATTCAAGGACTCCGGGTCGCCCGTCTCAGGGATGCCGCCTGCCCTGGCGCTTCACGGGCTTGGCAGGGGCAGAGGCGGACTGCGCCGCTTTCCTGCGGTCAGCTCCAAGCTGCGGCTTTTTTTTGAGGTTTTGGGTACCACTGGCTGGGTACAAAACAGGAACAAAGGATTCTCCACCCAGCCCTCCTCCGGGGGAAGGAGTGGTGCGGTCACCACCTCCTGAAGAGCAGGATTCAAGGACTCCGGGTCGCCCGTCTCAGGGATGCCGCCTGCCCTGGCGCTTCACGGGCTTGGCAGGGGCAGAGGCGGACTGCGCCGCTTTCCTGCGGTCAGCTCCAAGCTGCGGCTGTTGTGAAGGCTGCTGCTGTGGCCGAGCTGGAGCGGAGGTGGAGGCCGCAGGAGGGCGCCCTTGGCGACGAGCAGACAGAGAGGCTGCAGCCGGCGGTGGTGTGGAGACAGTAGCAGACCGCCGGGGCAGGATGTGCCGAAACGACTCCGTCTGCTTCTGTGAGCCACGCTGCGGCCGTTGTGAAGGCTGCTGTTGTGGCCGCGCCGGAGCGGAGGTGGAGGCCGCAGGAGGGCGCCCTTGGCGACGAGCAGACAGAGAGGCTGCAGCCGGCGGTGGTGTGGAGACAGTAGCAGACCGCCGGGGCAGGATGTGCCGAAACGACTCCGTCTGCTTCTGTGAGGCAGAGAACTGTTGGGCAAAGTCCTCTACCGCTTCGCCGGATAGGCCGGCCTGGGAGATCGGGGAGTCCAGAAAGCGATGCTTGTCGGCCTCCCTCATATCCGCCAAGGTCAGCCATAGGTGGTGCTCCTGGACCACCAGTGTGGACATTGTCTGACCCAGGGCCCGCGCTGTGACTTTCGTCACCCTAAGTGCGAGGTCCATCGCAGTACGCAGTTCCTGCAACACACATAGGTCAGCACCACCCTCATGCAACTGCTTCAACGCCTTGGCCTGGTGGACTTGCAGGCGGGCCATGGCGTGCAGGGCGGAAGTGGCCTGTCCAGCAGCACCTTAAGCCTTAGCTGTCAGAGCAGACGAAAACTTACAGGCCCTGGACGGAAGGCGTGGATTACTCCTCCAGGCGGCAGCACTTTGCGGGCAGAGCTGCATGGCAATAGCGCGCTTGACTGGGGGGATGTCCACATACCCTTGGGCCGTCCCACCGTCGAGGGTGGTGAGGACAGAGGAGGCATCAGGCCTGTTTCGGGCAGAAAAAGGTGCTCTCCAAGACTTAGTCACCTCCTCATGCACTTCCGGGAAGAATGGAACCGGAGGAGGCTGCCGACGACCGGCCTGCACCCCCAGGAACCAATCGTCCAGCCTCGAGCGTTCGGGAGAAGGAGGAGGCCTCCAGTGCAGCCCGACACTATCGGCGGCCTGGGAAAGCATAGCAGTCAGCTCTGGATCTGACTCAGGAAACGCCACTCTTCCTGATGGAGGCAGCGCAGCCGAATCGTCATCTCCAGAGCTTAGCTCGCCGTCCGATGCAGCGATCGACATCCTGTCATCTGCCTGCACTCCGCACGAGATGCTGGGCCCGCCCTGTCCAAGGATCCAGCGAGCTCGTCCGGGAACACCAGATGGTGCGATGTGCTGAGAAATGAGAGGCCCGCGGAGACGCACTCGAAGGGGAAGCTCTCACTGTGATCCTCAGATCACCCTGACCATGAACCGAAGTAGCCCTCCGAGAGCCGGAGGAGCTAGAACGGGGCATGGCAAGGGGGATACCCTCCTGTTTGATGAGGAGGTATCTGGACCGCAACATCACGATGGTCATGTTCCCGCAATGAGAACATGACTCATCCATGAGCGCTGCTTCAGCGTGCTGAAAGCCCAAGCACGAGATACAGCGATCATGACCGTCAGATGAAGCCAGGAAACGACCACATCCAGAAATGTGTTTATTAAAATGATTATGTAGCAGGTAAACCATCACAAATATGTATTACCTTTTCAATATACTGGCCACCTGCTTACACACACTGTGCTGAGTCACACAGCACTGTCAGATGGAAACATATATGGGACATTCAGCTTCCCCTTTGCCCTTTCTGGCTGTGGTGGTCAGCTAGTGCAGATCTGGTAAGTTATTCAGAGTGACAGCGCTGTGGCCCCTGGATGCCTCGCATCATCCTCACTGCCACCACCAGGCGAGAGAGAATGACCCCATCTAAACCTTACACAACTGCCTACTGTGGCGGTTTGCCTGTCAGATGTGATGACTCATGAATTCTTTAAACGGAAATGCAGTCATCACAGTCTTACCCAGGCTCTCCAAAAGGTTTTGCTACCCTAGGAACAGAATTTAGATAGTAAAGAGATTCTATCTGTGATCATTCTTTTTGGCAGTGTCTAAAAGGGGTAGTTCACCCAAAAATGTATCTTTCATCGTTTATCGTTTACTCAACCTCATGACCCTCAATGGACTAAAACAAAGATACATTTTTTTAAAAATGTCTTTGAAAGTGTTTCACAATAGAAAGAAATGCATACAGGTTTGGAGCAATGTGAGACATTTTCTCAAACATGGGTGATGGATGATATACACACTGTCTATAATATAAACAAGAGTTGGCAATTTGTTTTGGAAAGTTACTCATATATATTGTGTGAATGTACATTTTCCAACACCCTATAGATATGGTTAATAAACACTGTACTGAAGGCCTGGTCTGTTTTAAAGTTGAACTGGTTCTTTAACCTTATAAAGCCTACTGTATTGCACTGTTTGGTGTGTAAAATTGTAAGGCCTCTAAATTATAAACATGATCAAAACTTGTCCACACATTTTAGCAAATAAAAGGCCTTTTATAATTCGAAAAATGTCCACCTGTACATCTGTCTTTTTTGTATGTGAAATTGTTACTTATTTAAAAAAAAAAGTAAATGTAAGATTAGTGTAAACGTAGTCTGCTATACTGTTATAAACATTCATATTACAAGCTATCAGAAATTCCTATTTCTTGTTGGCCATATAAATACCAGCACATGCACTGTTTTTGCTCTGTTTCTTTTCTCCATGAGTATGACCTGTACATGATCTTATGTCATTTTATATGGTTCATGAAAGCCTGATGAAGGGGTATCAAATATGATTATCAACAAAAATCACATATGCAACTTATATATTGTTGGTCTTGAAAAAAAATCAGTGGTCCAGAAAATGCTGGGACAGTGTTCACATGTATCCCTCTCGGACCTGTTCTACAGCACGTCTGATTGCAGCTGAAAATGCCATCAGCTCTCGCAGCACACACCAGATAATCTTTACATTATTCCTATTTTAGACCAGGTTTAAAAGGCAGATCCAATTATTTCAGGCTCAGCCTGTGCCTTCTAATTATGGTTGAATTGCGGGACACTGTCTCTGTGAGTCTGGATGTATTAATGACTCGTGAAAGGAAAAGAATGCCATTTTTTTCGAACACGTTACAGCCATGGTGCAAGCTTTAGGGCTGTTATTTCAGTTGAGCTGATGTGTGCTCCTGTGTCACTTTTCAAGGACAGTGAAACACAAATGTCAGGCTGAACATGTCATACTGGCAACCCATAATTAGCTCGATTGTTGCTTGTGTGTACTGTAGAGAATCTGTGTAATGAAAAAATACACAATGAATCCGGTCTACTATACTGCCTCTATTAAGTGATTATATTACCGTACTGCATCTGATGAAAGCTGAAATTAAGTGCTTTGCTCAGAACTGGTTGTTCATGTTTTTATTGGTAGGTTCCTGGGGTCAGGGTGGCAGATGACTCATATTGTCTATTTGGAGATCCTTGTGCATGAGCTACCACACATTGAGAGGTCTCTGTATATAGACCAATGACTAATATCTCTCTGTTTGTCTGCTTTCATGTTTTTAAATATATATTTATCGTAATAACAGGACATCTTACTGACTACTAGCCATTCAATAAAGCAGTGGCACCATAGTTTCAAGGTGTCAGTATATGTGTACATGACACAAAGATATATATATATATATATATAAAAAAAGAATACTGTGATATTATAAATAAATATGTTTTGATGTGACTTATTTTTTAGTGCATTTTTTAACCTTTTTTTCCCCTTTTGAAGATGTTGAAAGCACTCTGGGGACAAAGTATTAGTGATTTTGTCCCTACAGAACCGTAGCTCAGTCAGAAAAACACACAAATGTTTGTATGGCATCCTATACTTAATTATATTCTGAAGAGTCTAATGCACACTACATTATAGCGTGTCAAATGAGGCTTAAGTAAAGAAGGTTTAGCAGCCCTGTGAGTAATCAACCATACTGAATCAACAAGATGTTCATAATATCTCTAACACATTCTCATTTATTCCACAAATGTTTCTTTATTTTGTGTTAGTGCAGCATTTAGTACAGCATGTTCTCATTCTAATTTTGTTACTTTCATCTTCTCTTTTCATTCGGGCACTCTTATTTGTTACTGTATTGGCTGAAATGTACACCACTCAAGACGTTTTGTTAATTTAGAGAAACAACAAAAACTTCGAACCACAGGTCTGAATTTAATTTGTATTAAAAATATATGAGGTTATGGACATATGAATCGTGTAAGGGTTAGATATTAATGTAAGGAAGCGCAAACTGAAAACATTCAGTGAGTGTAGAGATTTCAAGTGGTACCTTATTCCCCCTGCTGGTGGAATTATTATTATTATTATTATGTGTTTTTTTTATTTTTATACAGGGGTTGTAGAATGCAGCTTGTTCATTATTCTACTAGAACTAACTAACTGTTGCATGGAAGTGTAAACATATTCTGTTAACGGATGTTGATATAACCGTAAGTGAAGTGACTGTCTCTGTTGTTGTTGGTAGCTGAGACAGAGCATGCGCAGAGAGTCCCGGATGCAGATTCAACCCAGCAAATGAGGCTGAGAGAGAGACAACGATTCTTTGAGGAGGTGTTTCAACATGATGTCGATGTCTACCTTTCCTCTGCACACCTGCAGATAGATTACAAGAGACGTGAGTTTAAACACACACATAAATGGGTGACTCTTTTCATTTTTTATTTATTTTTTAATTATTATTGGTATAATTATAATGTTAAAACAATTTTTTAAATATTAAACTTTTCCAGAATTTCTGTATTTTACTTAAAAAGTATTTTAAAACTATTATAAATGATAAATTAGTGCTGTCAAGCGATTAATCGTGATTAATCACATCCAAAATAAACGTTTTTTTAAATATTATATGTGTGTGTACTGTGTATATTTATTATGTATATATAAATACACATACATGCATGTATATATTTAAGAAAAATATGTTATGTTTATATATTAAATATATGTATATATAATATAAATGATATGAATATAAATATATACATGTAAATATATGTAAATATTTTCAAAAAATATATATATTGTCTTTGTGTGTATTTGTATATACATAATAAATATACACAGTACACTGACATATATTATGTAAACAAAAACTTTTATTTTGGATGTGATTAATCATTTGACAGCACTACTATTGATACATATGTTTACATGTATTTACATATATGTAAATATACACATACATATAGCCTATGGCTTGTTTTATTTTTCAAGTTCACTTCCATTTTTTCCAAAGACCATGATCTTTATTCTAAGACATGTAATGAAACAAACAAACATGCACAAGATTATAAGTAGCCAAATACACCATGTTTATCTCTAATAACTTTTTAGTCTTTGTATCTTATGTCTGATTCTCCTATTGCAGCTCCCTTAGGAAGTATTTCATCAATGGAGGTGAACGTTGATATGGTAGAGCAGATGGACCTGATGGACATCTCTGATCAGGAGGCCTTGGATGTCTTCTTCAGTGCCAGCGGAGAGGAAGGATCTCTGACATCCCCTCTTCCCGGTACATACTCCAAACTAGTCTAAGTAGCTGTCAACAGGTTTCTATAGGTTGCTAGTTGGTGTTCTTGCTTGACTGCAGTATCCAACAACAGTATCAGGTGGTAGGTGATAGGATCAACTGTCTGCATTCCCTTATGGTATTTTTAGTAGAACGTCATAGCATTGCTGACAGTCTCCATTGCCTCATGTCACTTTGTTGTTGAAAATTGTCGGCAGTGGAAAAAAAATGTACATTGTTCTCGAACCATGCACGCTGTTTCCTAAAAGATTTCCTGTAGAATGCAAAGTAGTACTTTTTCTATCCTCACTGAAAGCAAACTTGAAGGTCCACCTCTAAACCTAACCAGTGGGGTGCAGACAGACTGTTTGAAAACTTATGAATGTGAATTAGCCACCGTTTGCCAAAATGGAAGTGAATATGTTTAAACAATGACACAGCATACGTAGCAACCTTGGATATGTTCTTGCATGCCAGCCACAAAGTAATTAGTTTCTGGCTAAATAAGTAAAACTATGTGATTGACCATTGACAAGGTTGACAAGAGTTCGACTTTATGCAAATGAACAGTGGTGAGATTCAGTGAGCGCTGAAGTGTAGACAGTGATTTGCCTGATACACCTGGATACTATAGTCAAGCTAAAATGCTAGCTAGCATGAATTTTTTTTTCCTCAAACCAGAAAAGTGCAACCCCATCCCACAGCCAATTTCATTGGTCAGCTCATTCATGAGGTCACCTGGCAAGAGAAGTTTTAGAAGGCTAGTATAGTTTTAACATTGTACAGGAAATCAGTGCAGTTACTGACATGAACAAGGTTTGAAAATAACACCCACAAACCTGTCAAATGCGGGTGGAAACCCTATGACGGTAAAACATATCAATAGTCAGTTTGGTGGGTTATAGTTCATAAATTATGTACTCCAACCAGGAGCCTCCAACATTAGAACAACAAAGCATAAAGAGTGTTATGCATTTTGAAAAAATGTGCCATGTTTTAAAATTCATATACTTTTAATTACAAAAACAAAGCACACTGACGAAGGCAGATAGCCGAAACGCTTGTCTTTTTATCTCAATTCAATTCGATTCAAGTTTATTTGTACAGCGCTTTTCACGATACAAATCATTGCAAAGCAACTTTACAGCAAATTAAGTTTTTACAATATTTAGTGGTAGCTTATAAGTGGTGACTGTCAGTTAATGTACATATGGCAAAAATGTATGGAAAAATCTATTAAAGATGTAATCAAACAGATGATGAACACTATTAACAGCAATTATTATATACTGCAGTAAAAGATTATGAGATGCATTATTTGAATGCTTGGCCAAAGAGATATGTCTTTAATCTAGATTTAAACAGAGAGAGTGTGTCTGAACCCCGAACGTTATCAGGAAGGCTATTCCAGAGTTTTGGAGCCAAATGCGAAAAACCTCTACCTCCTTTAGCGTACTTTGCTGTCCTAGGTACTACCAAAACGTCTGGTTATTTGTTAATCTAGCTACTGTGCTAAATAAAAACCTTGGATTGTTTTGGTTATTTTCTATGAGTTTGTGGATATGTTAATAAATAAATAAGTTTATCTCCTTATTTGATCCCATTAAAAGATTTAAGGAGTGCAGACCAATCTTTGTAATTACAAAGACAAACAAACAAAAATAATTTTTTTATTATTTTTATTGTATCCACAAACAATGATTGACTGAAAGCTTTCAATTCAATGATTCTGAATCAGATTTAATAATAAATATATTAAAATATAAATCTAAACCAGTGATTTCTGTTTATAATCTAGTTTATTTCTGGTATTTTTGGTATATTGCTTGTAGAAGTTCTGCATGGCTGGTAACTTAAAAATACTGTATAGCCAATTTGGCTGGTGAGTGAAAAAGTTAATTCCAAACCCTAGACATGATCAATGAAATATTTAGAATTGTTTGCTGGGTGTGGTTTGTGTTTAACTGTTTTAGGGGATTAAGACACACACACACACACACGTTTGTTTCTGTGAATTGTGGGGACTTTCCATAGACTTCTATTACTTTTATACTAACCCAACCCTAACCCTAAACCTACCCCTTACAGAAAACCTGTTTGCATTGTTACACTTTCAGATAAACATAATTTACTATTTTTAATATTTTTATTAAAATATTTTACTATCCTTGTGGGGACATTTGTTCCCCACAATGTAGCATAGACAAGTACACACACACACTACTAGTAATAGTGTGCAAAGACCAAGGTTTGGTTTGGCTGTTATAATGGCCCTGTTAATCCCTGGTTGGTATAGATTCCATTAATAGCCATTTAAACGTCACTGTGTATTCTGAATACATTTTTTGCAAGAAACATAAATAACAAATATTTCATTATAGTATAGTAGATGGTTTTTAGTCATGTCCGAGCATTTAAACATTTACATTTATATTTATTAATTTTGCAGACGCTTTTATCCAAAGCGACTTATTGGGGAAATCATCAAGCGATTCATCTTAAAAAAGGCAAACAGACACAGGAAGTGCTCGTAATACCAAGTTTCAGGCATTGTTCAAATAAGTGCAAGCTAGAAAGGGAAGGAATAAATAAAGAGAAGACCATTTTTATTTAATTTTTTTAAATTTAGGATGAAGTCAAAGAATGTCGAAAGAGGTGAGTTTTCAGCTGCCGCTTGAACATTTTCAGGGAATCAAAAAAAAAAGCCTGGTTCCCTTTAGCAATGCCATCAGATAATGAACTGCCATTGAGATGAACTGGTACAGATTACTTGTAATTGTGTATTGACATGGGTTTGTTTAGAATCGGCTGTGAGGTGGGGTTTTGCATTTAACTGCTTCAAAGAAAAACTAAAATTTACAGCAGCAATTTAAACACTGTCAGTGTGAAAAGGGCTTGAAGGGTTTCACAGAGACAGGTGTGATTTCTCAGGAGATCAATTTCAGTGTCGTCTGTCAGGTAGTAGGAACGTTTTCTATGTGCTGTTGCATAAAATGACTTGGAGCATTTTAGCATTGTCATTAAAGAGAAAACAGACTGATTTCTAGTAAAACCCCTCTTATTGTTAAACATTTTTCATAGAAGTGTCATAAGAAGCAGTCACTCATTGTATGTTGAAGCCATGTAGCTTTTGTAGTTTTGTACTTTTGTCCAAGTAAATCAAACAGCCATTTCTTTTCCAGCTCTTGGCCACACTGATGTAGAAGAGAATGGATTGAGGAGAAATGACGTGTCCTTGAGAATTTCTGACCCTTGCGAGATCAAATCCCGTATGTTGTCCACTTCCTCCAACTCCACCTGTGACAGTCAGGCCTCCAATGAGGATGGATCAAACACTCCTGTCGTCCAATCAGACGATGAAGACGTGCATGAAGATAGCCTGTTACAAACAGGAGCGGCCACAGCCAGCAATGCCACAAATGAGCAGTCTGCTCTCTCAGTATAAACTGCCTTCTCAATAATTACTGACTATTTGGGAAGTGTAACATGACTAGGTTGAGACTGTTTCATGGGTGGGTTGACTGGTTTTAGCCATAAATCAATCTACCAAAGAACTTTATGAACACTTGTGAAATTCAACTCATTCAAGGTCCCCATTACGTCACACTGGGAGTGTCATGCTTTGACAGACCTGAATTTTTATATTGCCACTTGCGTCTTACCAACATTTTACTCTTTTGCATTGGGAATATAGGTTTATAAATACACATCACCAATATTTTGCAATTCTCTTTACTAAGACTGATACTGCTCTGTAGAGAGACTAAATGCATCACCATTTTGAATTAAGGTGGTGAGTCTCAAAAACATTTCCAAAAGAAAAAATTAAGCAAATAAAGAAAATGAAGCTTCTTCTGTACAACATTAAAGGGAAAGTTTACCCCAAAAATAAAAACTTATCATTTACTCACCCTTTTGTGGTTTCAAACAAGACTTTCATTCATCTTACAAACACAAATGTAGATATTTTTAATGAAACCTAAGATATAAAAAGTCCATGCAAAAACTTTGAAGGTCCAAAAGGTCATAAAGGCATCATAAAACTAATTCTGGTCTAATGGTTTAATTCAAGGCACAATTGCTTTAAATGGTAAACCGATTTAATTTAGGTGTCAGACTTTATCAGATGACGTTTTATGATCAATGTGCATAGAGCACATCAAATATGGTAAACAAGGAAGCTGAGATGTGAACAAACCGCATTGCATATCTGGGTTTGTCATATTGGATGTGCTTTATGTATTTTTGACAGCCATTGTTTACATAAAAAGTTTTCATATAAAGTGCATGCATCGCTTCTTTGTGTTGTGAGAGATGAATGAAAGTCTTATGGGTTTAGAAGGACATGAGGGTGAGTAGATGGAGAAAGAATTTAAATTTTTAGGTGACTTTTTTTTCTCTTTACATTAACTTTTTTGGAATGTTCTTTTGTAACTTCATGGTAATTATTTTTAGATTATTAGATTTTTTTTATTGATGTAAAACAGCATAGAAGGCAATACAACAAATACTAGCTTGCTGTAAATTAAATATTAAACACGTTTGTGAATGTTTATTACAGTAATGAGAATTTGAGATAATTCTCTGTAAATCAGTAAAGAGTTCTGATGCAACTTCTCCTTCCTTATGATTATGTTCTACATTTCAGTATAGTAGTGAAGTTATCAAAATGGTTAAAAATGCAGTTACAGTAACAATTAAAATGTTAATGTAGCATTGGTCATTTGTCTTGCATTAGGTTTTGATTAGTTTTAAATTTACATTTACATTTAATCATATAGCAGACACTTTCATTCAAAGTGACAAAGTTTGGTTTTCACATTAATTATGAATCTGCATATAAACTCCTTAGTAGTTTTCTGGGAGGCACAAAAAAGTAGCATTTAGCTAGTAGAGGGTTAATTAATGTTTTATAACTTATTAATTTGTTAATAACAGTTACTAGAATAGTAAGAAAGTTGTTGGTTCAAAATGTTCTTTCTATCATGGGTCACAAATTCAGTCCGTGGAGTCCAAACATTTTGGATGGCCTGGAAGCATTTTTCTTTGTGACTCTAGTGTGTGAAGTTGCAACATGCCAAAAATTTCCACATCATTTTAAACTCACCCCAGACTGCACATTTAGGCCTGTAAAAATGACAGGCTAGCAGGTGTACTTGTAAAAAGTGACGGTATGTTCCTGAACAGCAGTCTGTTAATGTGATTGCTCTTTGCTGCCACGACCGAAACCCTCATAACAGGAATGTAGTGCGTTGTCATTCAAGCAAATGTTATTCAAAGACAAACAAAAGAGAAAAGGCTTACTGAGCTGTCAAAATGGTATTTTGAAAAGTTATAGTTATAGATTATATAACAGCTTACATTTGAGATGATAAGAAGATTTTCATGTCAGTCAGTGACACGCATGGAGGGCTAGGAGTGCTGCTTGTAAAGGATCCAATCAAGAATTGCCGGAACTGGGAGCGATTTTAGTACCAGACTGCCTTTTTCGAGAACCAAATTAGCTCCTACTCCCGAGCAGGGTCTAACCAGCACAACTGGTACTAATCGTGACGTAAGTAAACATTGATTGGCCAAACGTGTATGAAAACATTAAAAGAATTAAACTACTTCAGTCGGTGTGCACTGAATTTATTTAATACACGAGTTTCACAATTCGAGTTGAATTACTGAAATAAATGAACTTTTCCATTACATTTACATTTAGATTTAGTCATTTAGCAGACGCTTTTATCCAAAGCGACTTACAATTGGGGGATACATAAAGCGATTCTTCTTAAAGAGGCAAACAGACACAGGAAGTGCTAGTAATACCAAGTTTGTAGACATTGTTCAAATAAGTACAAGCTAGAAAGAGAAGGAATAAATAAAGAGAGAATTTTTTTTTTAATTTTTTTTTTTTTTTATGATGAAGTCAAGTAGCTTCGAAAGAGATGAGTTTTCAGCTGTCACTTGAAAATTGTCAGGGACATTCTAATTTATTGAGATGCACCTGTATATTCTCTGTAAATCAGTAAAGAGTTCTGATGCAACTTCTCCTTCCTTATGATTATGTTCTACGTTTCAGTATAGTAGTGAAGTTATCAAAATGGTTAAAAATGCAGTTACAGTAACAATTAAAATGTTAATGTAGCATTGGTCATTTGTCCTGCATTAGGTTTTGATTAGTTTTACATTTACATTTAATCATATAGCAGACACTTTCATTCAAAGTGACAAAGTTTGGTTTTCACATTAATTATGAATCTGCATATAAACTCCTTAGTAGTTTTCTGGGAGGCACAAAAAAGTAGCATTTAGCTATTAGAGGGTTAATTAATGTTTTATATCTTATTAATTTGTTAATAACAGTTAGGACGCTGAAGTGCAGGCACTTGTAGCAAATGTAGCACTGCCAGTTGTCGTTGGAGATTCTTAGTCCTCCTTTCCGTTCTTTCAATCGCTTTACGTATACGTCGACTTTCCATGTCCATTATTGTGAAACCCACAAGACACAACAAAAACAGCTTCGATCACAGCGTTCTCCATCCTCCTGTTGTTAACGTTGTTCTTGGTTTCTGTTGTTGAACGCCACGCACAAATGACGTCGCTGTCGACCGGCTTACGTCACTTCTTAGTACATACTCTCGGTGTGAATGCAACCCTTTAAATGGTACTGGGAAATAGTTTGTGCAAAATCGTCCCAGTACTTTAGTACCGTACGTTTAGTTCTGGAACTAAAGCGGTGCGAAAGGGCCTAATAGGGCCTTTCGCACCGCGGGAACCTTTTCATAGTACCCGAACTAATTGTGGAACTAACCACTTTTTGGCGTTTTCGCACCGCCGGAACTGGGCGTCACAAATTCAGTCCGTGGAGTCCAAACATTTTGGATGGCCTGGAAGCATTTTTCTTTGTGACTCTAGTGTGTGAAGTTGCAACATGCAACCCAGTTAACAAATGCCAAAAATTTCCACATCATTTTAAACTCACCCCAGACTGCACATTTAGGCCTGTAAAAATGACAGGCTAGCAGGTGTACTTGTAAAAAGTGATGGTATGTTCCTGAACAGCAGTCTGTGTGTGATTGCTCTTTGCTGCCACGACCGAAACCCTCATAACAGGAATGTAGTGCGTTGTCATTCAAGCAAATGTTATTCAAAGACAAACAAAAGAGAAAAGGCTTACCGAGCTGTCAAAATGGTATTTTGAAAAGTTATAGTTATAGATTATATAACGGCTTACATTTGAGATAAGAAGATTTTCATGTCAGTCAGTGACACGCATGGAGGGCTAGGAGTGCTGCTTGTAAAGGATCCAATCAAGAATTTATGCTTCTTATAAAACAATAAAATTGTGGAATATCAAAAGTAGAAATACGTAGAAATGTAATTTGCATCCATTTATGATTTCACAAATTGGGCACTGAACAGGTTTGACATCAATAAACACAAGTTGTGTGAACTACCTATCATTGAAGTGAAATAAGGGTGGTCAGCTCGTGGTTAGGCACTTGCTGTTGTAGGTGCGATCGCAGGTATGTGTGACCTTTGAACTGGTGATTGACTGACACCTGGTTGGGCTTGAGTGACTGCTTCTGCAGTTCATGAACTATAATTTGGGTTTGGATCTAATTTGAATCCATGTTGACGGGTTCCCGCAAAATCGTCCCAGTACTTTAGTACTGTACATTTAGTTCTGGAACTAAAGTGGTGCGGAAGGCCCTAATGAATAAATGCACTACAAATATCTCCAGTAAAAAGATTTGAATTCTTTAAACAAAATAACTTTAATTTGTTTTGCGTATTTGTCTTTACACAAATTTAATCTTCTTAACCTACTGCCACTTTTTAAATTGTTTAAAAAAAGTCTAACAACTTTTTTTATACTTAAAACAAGAATGGGCTAGAAATATAAGCTTATTTTTAAGGGGATGTCATTTTACACAGGCTTACTTAAGTCTTATTTAGGTCACAAATAATTGTAACTTCTTGTAAGAATATTTAGAGATTTGAATTGCAAAACATCCGATTAAAAATACTGTTTTTTTGTGGTATAATTCTCCTTTTATCTCTCTTGCTCTCTTCTCCTATAGAAATGTGTGTAATGTCTCTCTCTATAATGTCTTCATGTGTACACTGCATAACTAGCACTGCCCCAGGGTGTAGTTACCTGTACTTCTGCACTACACAGGTGTGATTGTGCTCTCAGTTCAAGGCAGAAGCAGGTCTGAGCGTGAGAGTTCATGAGCTTCCAGTGTTAAAGCTTTCTACCTCATATTATGAATTGAAATTATTGTGGCTACGATGATGTTCAGCTACTTGGTGCTTGTGGTAAGTACAGTGTGTATTGTTGTCACAGTTATCCAATAGGTTAATTCAAGATTCGGTAACATTTTAAATCAAAAATGTATTTTTATTCTGTTGCTTGTTCGCTGTAAGTTACTTTTTACATTGTTTTGCAAATGACAGTAATGGTAAAAATTTTAATTTGTTACCCTAAGGAGTTATTTCTACCTTAACCCAATTCTAATTAATTTCCACCATACCTAATTCAGTCATATTGATTTTTTTATTTTTTATTATTTTTTAAATGTAACTAAATGCAGTCAAAACCTTGTTGATTTCTCTGTATTTGTTCTGATATTGTGATTATTGGGACCTCGATCTTAATCAGTAATCTGTGCAGTATAATTAATAATATAAATATTATCAATATAATAATACTATAATAATTATTATTAGACATTTTATGGAAGTCTGTGCTTTTAAATGTGTATTCCTGTAACATGAGTGCCTATCAAATTCTTTCTGGGGGTCAGTTGAGAAAAACAGCAACAAAGGAGAGTCTAGTATATAACTTTTCCCAAACCTGTTTCACAACTTTGAATTCTCTCAGGTAAATATACATCGCAAGTTCAAAATGTCTCAAACTACGCCAAAAAAAAATATGTCCTTTGACCCTGCCTTCACGGCAGAAATGACTAAAAATGATCCAGATGTTAATGACTGAATGGCATTTTTAGTGGTAAAGCAAAGCTGTTGCATCATGTTCACATCTTGGTGAGATGCATTTGAAACATTTCTCTTAGCTTTAGGTTTTTTCTGCTCCTAATTGATGTAACATGTTTAAAGCCATACATTAAATAACACACACTGTTTCTGTTGAAAGGGAATGATCTGTCTGTGCAGCACAGAGCCTCTCAAACGCCATAAACGGTCCTGGATTATAGACTCGTTTGACATTGTGGAGGAACACCCGGGGCCTTTCCCCTATGAACTGGGGCAGGTAAATACCATTTCTCTCTAATGCACTGCGGGTATCAAATAATAAAATAATTCAAAACTCGGAGTGGTATATCATTTTGGTTAAAGATCTGGGTTTGTTGCTGGCTTGGTTGGGCAAAATTCTCAATTAAAACTCCCTTCAAATGCATGTATGTACATTTGAATTCAATTAGCCACAAACCAGAGGATGTTGAATTGCAATGACAGAAAGACAAATTTATTTATTTAGTATAAATTTACTTTGTGCTTTATTCTTTTCTTTCTTTCTTCCTTCCTTTCTCTTGATCAAAAAATAAAATAACAAACTCTACATTGTTGCAAAAATTTCATGAAATTAAAAATATTTTGCATGCATCATTTCAGAAAAAAATTAAACCATTTTCAAATATTTCTTGAACATCAAATATTAGAATGATTTCTGAAGGATCGTTTGTGACCCTGAACCACAAAACCAGTCATAAGGGTCAATTTTTCGAAATGGAGATTTATACATCTTCAGAAAGCTGAATAAATAAGCTTTCCATTGATGTATGGTTTGTTAGGATAGGACAATATTTGGATGAGATACAACTATTTGAAAATCTGGAATCTGAGAGTGCAAAAACATCAAAATATTGAGGAAAAACGCCTTTAAAATTGTCCAAATGAAGTTCTTAGCAATGCATATTATTAATCAAAATTAAGTTGATGTATATACAGTAGGACATTTACAAAATATCTTCATGGAACATGATCTTTAGTTAATATCCTAATGATTTTTGGCATAAAATAAAAATCAATAATTTTGACCCATACAATGTATTTTTGGCTATTGCTATAAATATACCTGTGCTACTTAAGACTGGTTTTGTGGTCCAGGGTCACATTTGACACTGAAGATTGGAGTAATGCTGAAAAATCAGCTTTACCCACAAAGGAATAAGTTGCATTTTTAAAGGGGTCATATGATGCTGCTAAAAAGAACATTATTTTGTGTATTTGGTGTAATGAAATGTGTTTATGCGGTTTAAGGTTTAAAAAAAGACATTATTTTCCACATATTGTACATTGTTTCTCCTCTATGCCCCGCCTTTCTGAAACGCGTAAATTTTTACAAAGCTCATCGTCTGAAAAGCGAGGTGTGCTCTGATTGGCCAGCTAACCAGTGCGTTGTGATTGGCCGAATACCTCAAGCGAGTGACGGAAATGTTACGCCCCGGCATTGTAGGCTACTCTCACAGGAAACAGTCCTCAACCTCCGCAAAATGTGCATCACACATCTGAATATTTGGGTTGAAGTGTTCTGGAACAGTGTTGTAAATACAATTTAACCACTGATTTCTAGTCATGTCCTCTTTTGAAAGACAAAACAAAATAGTTTCGCTTTCACAATGTAACACACGGCGGGCTTGAGTGAGCGGAGGCCGGAGGGCTTGAGAACGGCGCGGCCGGCGGATTCAAGGAAGAACACACAGCGCCTTCACGACATGGCGGCAGCAACAATACTACTGCGAGAATAAAAGTTACGCCTTCTTTCTTTGCGTGAACATTTGGGCGGCGTTATGCAATGACGTATACATGTGGGATGTGTTAGAACGAGCCGTTTTAGGTAGGTGTGGCTGACTCTGAACTTTTATAAAGAATATCTCTTTGGATTTGAGACTTTAGTCTTTGCAACTTTACAGATCTTCTTTATGCACCAAGAGCTTGTAACACTCCAAAGAGAAAGGAAAAATTGAAATCGCATCATATGACCCCTTTAAATATATTAAAATAGAAAACAATTCTAATTGTTATTAATAATATTTCACTGTATACATGAAATATCTTATTAAAAACTACATTCAATTCCTTTGCATAAAAAGTATCAGTTTAATGACAAATTATCAAGTATCGCAAACAATGTGCCATGTAGTAAAACTTGCCATCCTGATAAAATTTTTATTTTTTTTATCCCAAATTCTAGATTAAACTGGACCGTAGCTATTTAGTGGAGTTCAGGTTAAAAGGAAAAGGTGTGGATGAAGATCCAAAGGGTGTCTTATCTATTGATTCGCTCACAGGAATCATTAAAGTCCACCGGAAAGTCGACTATGAGCAGTACAGTGTTCTGATGGTAAGTGGAATCTGATTTTTTATTAGATATAGGTTATATTAAGGTCTTATGTCTCACTTGGGACGAAGAGGATTAAGTGAGTAAGTAATATTAAGGGCATAGGTTGGAACTAATTTCATCATCCTTTCAAAGCTGACCTTCCAAGCAAGAAATAAGTCCAACTTGGCCATAGATACACAACTTGGCATGGAAGTCAACATACTGGACATCAACGACAACCCGCCGGTATTCCAGAGGAGGGTTTATGATGTCACTGTAAACGAAGCAGCAAAACAAGGTCAGTATCATTGCCGAACTGTTGAATTTATCAGCTGTAATTCAGGTTTGATTTACTGCAAAATAATATGTAAATCCTACCCACCTTATTTTTCCCGTAAGAGTGGGAAAATTTAATGTTTCTGGCTTCCGGTGTCATTGGCTTCCAGCTATTTTTAGCTGCACAAAACAGCTCGTTTTGCTGCTTGATATTGCAAACTGGTGTCTTACAATTTTATTTTAATGTAGGCTATTATCTTAATTATGAACACACTGGTTTGTAGTGCAAACAGTTTTACCGTTTACTGCACTGTTCTTTTCATTATTTCCCTACAGCGGCTAATGAACCGGAAGTCTTGCACATTCACAGATAGTGCCGTCAAACGATTAATCGCATCCAAAATAAAAAAGTTTTTGTTTACATAATATGTGTGTGTACTGTGTATATTTATGTATATATAAATACACACACACGCATATATTTAAGAAAACTATGTTACGTTTATATATTAAATATATTTATATATGATATAATTTATATGAATATAAACATAAACATGTACATACATTAGAAGTTAAACGCCCTTTAAACAGAGTTGTTGCTTTTTTAACATTATGACTAGTTTAATGTGTCTGCCAGCTTCACTGCCATTTTTTCTGAAACCATTTGTAATTTCTGCCACATTGTAAATCACCATTCATTCAGAAATGATAGTTCTGTCAGGACCACTATCGTCAAAATGATAGATACTTAACATAAAGTTTGGTTTGGCGGTATGGTTCTGTTCTGGGCAAAAAACCTCCCTGCCCATCCATGCAGCCTGTCATGAATGAGCAGGGAGAGCAGCAATAATAACCCCCCCCAACACAAACGATAGGCCAGAACCGCCCAAACCACAACCAATGGCATTCTGAAAGAAGCATATCCTTCTGGAATAACAGAGACTGGGGCAGCAGCAACTTACAGGAGAAGGCAGCGAAGGGGTGCTCTTCTTTATAAGCAGCAAGCCCCTTACCGGAGAAGAGTAGCAGCAAAGGGGTGCTCTGCGGATCAGAAATTATGAATCTCTGATAAGTGGCAGTCCAGCAGGGAAAGCATAGACTGCAGAAATACTTCGAAAGACGGTCATTGATATTACATTCTTATATGTATAGAAGCCATTAGGAGCGATAAACGCGTGCTTCTGACGCAGCTGAAATCAACCGCACACTCACACAGCTAGTGAAACATCAACCTTAGAAATAAACAACCATAACATTGAGATTATGCCGCTGAATACAGCGAGCCCCAGTTGAAACGCATACACGAGAATGCTTGTTTCATTTAAACTTGTTCTCATGGCCTTAACTATCGGCGTGTCCTCAGAGCGATTGCATGCTCTATACTACGTGTTGCTCCAGCTGTGTGAACACAGATCCGTAAATGCTGCTGCAAATATGCTTTTTTCAATTAGCAGACCAGGTAATATACACAGCGATATGGATTAAAACAGCATTCACTTATCTTAGATGTGGATTTCAGATGTTCTGAAACACGCTGCAACAGTTTGATTTGCGAGCAGCGATGCTTAATTTGCTCCGAAGCAAGCTGAAAAGCTGCTGAATAATACTGAATACAGCTTATATAGGAATGCCGTGATAGGTGTCGTATTCCTATAGGTAGATGTGATCAGCTGAGAGTCAGCTGATGCAAGCTTGACTCACGTGACCTGCCAGAACTAACGCTAAAGCTTAATTGCTGGAAATTGGTTTCTAAACAGTTAAATCTTGTAGCATCATAAATTCACACAAATACAATTAGATTGTTAGATTTTTTGCATAATCTGAAAAAATTACATCTTTATCAGAAATTACATTCAATAAAAATATTAAATTCTGTTTTTAAACATTATGTCTGATATGGGACAACTGTAATATTTGATGTAAATTTCACACAAGAATTGCTGAAATATATTTGTTCTGTATCACCAAGATTGCATAAATAATGAAAATGATTATTGATTTACATATTTTAAGATTATGAGTCTATTCATTAAAGTTATCGGAAACTTACTATGATTAAAATGTAAAAAAAAAATCTTAAACTATAATTATTATATTAACCTTCATGAAAAAATACTCCTATTGTTGAAGATACACTATAAAAAGAAATGTTGCTTTTATGAATAAGCTTTTATTTATAAGCCCTCAAAATATGAATTAGTAATGGCAAATATGTGATATGTTTACTTCCCTGAGATTTTAAAGGGAAAATGTATTATTCACTCACATTTATGTCATTTCATACAACTTACGTCACCCATACAACTTACTTTCTTCTGTGGAACACAGCATTTTAAACAAATTTATGGTTGCTTTTTTCCATACAATTACAATAAATGGTTTTTAAAAAAAAGAGCACCATGAAAGTAATATGAAGGTGGTTTTTATGACTTGTGTGCTATATTTCAGGTTTTCTGATGCCATACAATCTTTGTGTGACAAAACTTTAATTTGTTATTCACTGAAAATCATGATATCCCCAAAATAAGTAACATTGTCTGATTTTAAGGCTTCAGATCTTTTCAATTAATTGCTTGATCCACTTCAAATTACTATTTCATTGATTCAGTAACAGCAGTTAATGGCTCATAAAAAACTCAAATCCATGACCTTAGTGTTGCTTGTACTTGTACTTGTTTGAGATACAGGAAAGTGCTTTTGCATCATTTTTGAAGCATAATTAGTTCCAATTTATTGTAATCGTATGGAAAAGAGTGACTAGTAAAGTATTTAGCTGTTCTCATTTTGAAAAAAAAAAAACAAGTTATATGGAAGTGGAACAATATGACGATGAGCAAATAATAGATTCTAATTTTCAGAATAAATATTCCTTAAAGAAATGAAGTCATGCTCTTCATATTGTCTGTTTGCAGGTGGTTTTATTGTAGGTGTTTTAGCAATTGATAAGGACGCACCAGGAACTCCGAATTCCACCATTGATTACAAAATCATTTCTGTCACTCCAACAACTAAAAATGTGGACTTCTACATCCAAGAAAGTGGTGCAATATCTTTCAAAGGATGCTTTGATTATGAGGTAAAATAAAAACCCAGGAAATGCATAATTTGCAAGTACAGAAATAATTACTTTGTTGTTACTTGCACAGTCCATAACATACTGTACTACAGCCTATAGCATATGCATGCCTTTAAAACCAGTGTGTCATGCTAGGATTGGGATATTGCAGCAAAAGACAAGAGTTATCATGTTTGTGCCTGACAGACCAACAGGCATCACAGTCCAGTTTCAGTGTTCAAGTAACATGTGAAAACATGTCTTTAAAATATCTTGACATTTGCCAGGTTATTTAAAGTTTGAGTATGTATATGAAGAGTCTAACCGGTTTTCTTTTCAGGTGGCTAATAAATACTCTATAACAGTTGAAGCAAAGGACCGTGGAGTTGTAAAGCTGTCAAGCACAGTGACAATAATTGTCAACCTTCAGGATGGCAACAATCATTTACCAGTTATCACAGGGCAAACGGTTAGTGTTAAGGGGATAGTTCACCCAAAAAATTAAAATTCTGTCATCGTTTACTCACCGTCATGTTGTTGAAAACCTGCATGACTTTCTTTCTTCGTTTGAAGAACAGATCTTTTGAAGAATGCTTTTAACCAAACAGTTGCTTAGTCACTGACTTCCATTAATATATATATATTTTTCTCCATGCAGTTAAAGTCAATGGCTACCAGCAACTGTTGGTTTACCAACATTCTTCCAAATATATTATCAAATGTTACCAGAATTTTCATTTTTGGGTCAACTGTTTTTACATTTTCCGCTTCACTAGGGTTCAGCTAATGTGGCGGAAGGGACAAATGGTACATCACCTCTCAAACTACATACAGCTGATGCTGACACGCGTCCCACTGCTGCATGGAGGGTCAGATACTCCATACAAGGGGATAAAGGTGGCCACTTTGCCATCCACACTGATCCAGACACCAATGATGGAATCCTCACTGTGGTTAAGGTATGTTTGCACACTGTAAATGTCATGCTATGTTCACTAATCTCATTACAAAGCAGAAATAAATTATTAAGAGATATTGACTCATTTATAGGTCATTAGTAGGGTAAGATGTGGACAAATGCCCAACAGTTGCCCCATTAGGCATCTTCCTGCATACTCCCGGCCTCGTTTTTGTCTTGACCACAGATTACACACAAAAAAGACACATTTCAGTCACTTTTCGGATTGTTAAATCTTTATTAATGTAAATAGAATGTGCATAGGTTTGGTCTTGGTGGACTAGATCTGCTTCGCTGCTGCTGCAGAGAAAGTAGACTTGCTTCTGCTAAACGCTCGGCTCATAAAATTAAAAGGAAACATGCTGCTGTTGCTAGAGAGGGGAAGATCCGTGTAGCAGATCTAGAGGACATGCATAGCATGCAGACACAGTGTTCATTGAATACGTCCTAGTTATATAGGTAAACGGTAATGAGCACGTTAATCTGATTGGCTGGGTCCCCCTCGGGAGAAATCACAGGGGCCCCCCCGACTCGCGGGGCCCCACACAATTGCGTGCTTTGCCTGCTGGGTAAACACGCTACTGGTCATGAACTGAGAAACCAAAAGAGGTAATTGTAAGCACCGCCAATGCAGCTTTAGATCAACTCCTGCTTACACTGCAAAAAATACTTTTCTTACTTAGATTTTTTTGTTTGATTTCCAGTGCAGATATCTAAAAATTCTTAAATCAAGAAGGATTTTCTAGACAAGTAAAAATTATTGTCTTGTTTTCAGAAAAAAAACAAGTCAAAATTAAGCGAGCTTTTGTTTGAAACAAGCTAAATAATCTGCCAATGGGGTAAGAAAAATAATCTTGTTTTCTGCTTGAAATAAGATTATTTTGCTTACCCCATTGGCAGATTATTTTGCTTGTTAGAAGCAAAAACTCACTTAATTTTGACTTTTTTTCTGAAAACAAGACAATACTTTTTACTTGTCTAGAAAATCCTTCTTCATTTAAGAATTTTTAGATATTTTGGATGGAAACAAGACAAAAAAAATCTAAGTAAAGCATTTTTTTGCAGTGTAGACCTCACTGCCTGTTTAGCCCCGCCCACCGATTCGTGCATGTAGTGTTTATGAGCGACACGAACGCGTAGGTGTACTTAGAAACCAAACGATAAAAATGGTCAGAAGACATCAAGACGCTGTGCAGGGCCAAGTTGTGGACAAACAGTGTTTGCGTTACCTTCCTTCTGATCCCAATGTTAGGAGAGAGTGCATGGACTTTATTTTCAATTAATATTTAATGATCCAGATCGTGGAAGTAAGAACTTGAGCTGCATTCCAAATGACGCACTATACACTATGCACTCATACACTCTGTACTTATGCACTAGGTACTCAACCATGTATAGTATGAATTATATAAGGTTATTTTGTCATTCATAATCGGAGTCAAATAGCCCCTCCCCCTTCGGTACATAATTAAAGCTGTGACAGTTGAGTGCATGAAGTGTTCAATATTCCACACTTCATTTTTTCAGGTATTTAAAGTGCAATTTTTCAGTGTGAACGCACTACTCACACTATTTATTCTACTAAACGTCATAGAATAGTGCACAAGTACGCGATTTGGGATGCACCTTTGGTTCTTTTTTCAGTTCATTTTTTACCACGGATTCGTTTACAAACAAGGCACAATTCGACGCAGGATTTTCAAAAACATTGAAACTTAAGTCGATGCTGTGCCGAATATATTGGATCTGACAGTCGCACCACAAAAGTATAAGTGTTTTCATTACGTGGTCACTATTGCTTCATCTCTTCTTATAGATCGTTTGATATGTAATGAGTTATTTATGCGTTTTTGACTTGAATCACAGCAGCGGCCATCTATGACGAATTTACGCTGTCAAACATACACAACTGTAAGCCAATCATAGCAGTGTCTACAATCTGCCAAGCCTATTCAAACAGAGCGTTCTGATGAGCGAGTTAAAAACAAGACAAAAAATAGCTTATTACTTCTAAATTATGTTTTTTGATGTAAAAATTACATATAAGTGGACCTCAGAGAACAGTACAAAAAAACAAATAAAACGAGGCAGTTCATGACCCCTTTAATGTTTTTTGAGTAAACAATATATATTGTGAATGATTTGTGAGAGTGAGGACCCGAGCAGCATGTTGGTACTAATGTTATTATATTCACCTTTAATCCTTACTGTAATTCATGGTGTTATTATTCAGTGATTCCACATTTCAGATGTATTTGCTATTCATTCAAATCTATACTAATTAGGTGAAATCATTCCGTTAGAATTCACAGTCTTGCTATAATGACATACGTTCAGTAAAAAAAGTCATGAAATAAATTTACCTGCTATACTGATATTGTGTGTATTGTTTTCATGCAATTCTTTGCCAGCCTTTAGACTATGAAGAAAACCCAGAACAAAAACTCACCATCTTTGTTGAGAACGAAGAGCCTTATTTCTCTTGTGAGGTTAAAGAGAAATCTGCACATGGGCTCTGGACAATCATCACAAATCCACCAAAACAGTCCTCTAGGAATATTATCATTACGGTGGAAGACGCCAATGACCCTCCATTCTTCCCAGATCCAGTAAGAAAAGTAATTTTGGAAGAAAATGGTGCTGTCGGAGCTTTTGTAGACAAAGTGACAGCAGTCGATCCTGACACTGGACGTCCCCACAAACTGGAGTATGTGTTCAATCATCAGAATCACTTGGCTCCAAAAATATCTGGACAATAAAGCCATAGTTAAAATGTGTCCTGTTGTTGCATTCTATAAAATACCAAACCATGTGGCATGATCATATAGTGAGATGTCTAAACGTTTCCAAATACTTTTGTTGCCACTCCATATGGGGAATCCAGACAGTAAGTTTGTTAATAATAAGCTATTTATTTTCTCCCGCGCCAGGTATTCTATTGAACAAGATCCTGCAGGCTGGTTCAGAGTAGACAAAACAACTGGGGAAATCTTTGTAAAAGAGTCTTTGGACAGAGAGTCAAGTCATGTGACCAATGGGACTTATACAGTCACTGTCCTTGTGACAGAGAAGGGTAATACAATATAACTGTTTTGCATTAAGCTTGCAAATAACTGGTAACGACTACATCTATCCATCCATGTTCGAAATCGCTTGTCTTATGTAGGGTCTCAGAGATGCTGGAGCCTATTCCAATGTGCTGGGCTGTAGAAAGAGACAAAACCTACATAGTTTACAAACTTTTATCATCTAGAAGTATTATTTTCCATTTTTCTCTGATTTTTCACACCAGATGACCATCCTCCAATGACAAGCACTGCTACCATTCAGATCCACATTGAAGACAAAAACGACAATGTCCCTATTTTAAAGGAGAACATGGTTTCTGTCTGTCAGTCTGATGAAGTGTCAAGTACAGAGATCACAGCCTATGACCTTGATGGAGATCCTTACAGTGGTCCATTCAGTTTTGAAATTATGGGAGATCATAAGAAAGAATGGAGCTTTGACCCCAGTCATGGTAAATAATAGTAATAATAATAATAAAAAAAACATTGTGGTTTATATAGTGCATTATATAGAACCTTATATAGTGTTCTCAGCATTAGGTTAGATTTGACTAAGCTCTGATGTAAAACACATGGTCATTACCTTTCATATTTTTTGCTTTGTCTTTTAGGTTACACAGTGCATTTGGTGAAGGATAAAAGCATCCATGCCAGTCTGAACACATTGATTGTGAAAGTCTCTGATAAACAGGGCAGGTTTGTCCTCCAGAATCTCTCTGTTGCTGCGTGTGATTGTGCGGTTTCACCAAACTGTCTGATGGAGCGCAACACACAGCAAAAAGTGGGAAGTGGCTTGATAGGAATTACCATTCTTGCCGCGCTGATGATATTTGGTGAGCACAGGATTCTGTTAAATTCCCTATAAAATGATTTGATAAATAGATTTCCTATCCTGTGTTGTCCTACTATTATTGGGGCAGGAGGACAGTTAAGTAACATTTGTTATTATTATTATTATTTCACAAATTAAGTTATTTTGATATGACCAAATTAAATCGTTTCAAAGTGATTTTGTGTGGAAACTTCAAACTTTCTTTTTTTTGTTAAATCTTTGAATTATAGCAAACTGTTGGCAAGCAATAGCGCTAAATGCTAAGTCAGCCCCTTAAGTAAAGCTGCAAAGACAGTCTTGTCTATGTTTCCATACTCCTATTCACCAATGGCAACCCAGTTCGATTGAAATTCAACATTAAACAATATCAAGTGTTAGTACTACACAAAAATAGTACTAAAACAAGCACTCCCTATACATTTTTATTCTCACTGTTAAGTCCTATGCAAAGCATGCTAGGAACTATATATTCTTTTTAAAATATGTATCACATTTTCTGATATGTACTAACAATAAAATAAAATAAACACCATAAAAGCTAGGATGTATGTTTTCTGCACAACACACTGGTGTCAAGTGAAAATACTATTTAAACAAAATTGTTTCTTTTAGTTGAATCTTTTGGGAGAGTTGTTTGCTGTTTAAAAAAAAAAAATCCAAACTGAATGAAACGGGTTCATACCTGAAATCATGATTTTCCATTAGAACAATACACACATTTAGCGTATAACGTTAGTTCTGGGAGGTCACGTGAGTCAAGCTTGCATCGGCTGACTCTCAGCTGATCACATCTAGCTATAGGAATACGACACCTATCATAGCATTCCTATATAAGGTCTATCCAGTATTATTCAGCTGCTATTTCGCTTGCTCAGGAGCAAATTCCCCTCCTCCATCCCCAACTCCTCCTTTCGCCACAGTCAGGACTTGGTTTTCTGATATTCCTCATTGAATCAGACTCCTTTTATCTTGACTAATGTTGTTACACTTAAATATCATTAAGTACATTAATGATATCTGCTTTGTTCTGTACTGTTTACCATTGGGGGGCTATTATTGCTGCTCTCCGTGCTCATTCATGACAGGCTGCATGGATGGGCAGGGAGTTTTGCCCAGTACAGAACCATACCGCCAAACCAAACTGTATGCTAAGTGTCAGTCATTTTGACGATAGTGGTCCTGACAGAAATATATGTGCAGTAAGTTCTAATATTTCATGTTGCTTTTAAGAAGTAAAAGCATCTTGAATCTGAAAGCTGTTTTTTCTTTTAGCTTGTCTGTTGCTGTCTCTCGTTTGCTCTTATGGGCCTGTGAAGTCTCTGGTGCAGGTAGACAATGTCTTAGAAGATGCCCTTCTGCCTTCTAACATCGAGAAACCTGGCTCTGATTGTGTGGTAAAACCTTACATTAAGATTTCTTGCGAAAAGCTAAATGGCCCTTTCACAGTGAGGTCTAATACAAAGATAACAAATGAATGGTCTACTCTATTTTTTTTACATTCATAAAGGTCCCGACTATTCTTTTAAAGAAGGCATCTGTTAGTCACTCAAAGGATGCAACTTTTGTCAGTAATGGGGCTCAACAGACAACTGACATTCAGGGGGTATGCTAAACATTTCTGTTTGTTTCATAATGAGATCTCGGAAACACTATACATTTCTTATAAAACCACTGTCATTCTTTACACTACAAATCATTGTATTGTATTCATTTTGTTTGTTGATTACAGGTATCTAGCCAAATTATAGCCACTCATAGTCTCCCAGTTCAAATGGATGAGTGCTGGTCTAGAGACAGATCACATTATTCCAGTGAGGTAATACAACAGTTCATGTATGAAATTGTCCCAATCAAATATCCTTTGAAAGTGAAAGCTCAGTATTTACTGTATACTGTCTTCTGTTTCTAAGAAACAGACATGGATGTGGAAACAGTATCAGAGTGAAAACCGCTACCAGGTAAACCTTAATCATTTCATGGCATGTCTAAATTTGTTACTGTTCAGTGAAACTAGTGAAATCTTTAAATCAGTAATATACATGGGGTTTTCTTACACCCTTAGGGTTCAACATTTAGCAGGAGGAGCTCACAAAGAAGACAGGGTACCTATTTCATCAGCAGCTCAACTCTACAAAGTTTGCTCTCTCAGGTACATTCGCCTTCAGTTTTCCACCCAGACACGCAGCAGGTCAATTCAACATTAATTCATCCATTCATTCACTGACTAAACATATTTCTTTCTCAACTTTCAGAGATTGCATTCAATACAGGGCCTAGAAAATGAATTGCTTGATTACGAACCTCAGCTTTACGCAGTTGAGGACAACTCTGATCATTTTGTAGACCTGGACCCCATAGACCTGCCTATGAATGAGTTTGATCCTGAGCTGCTCTCAGACCTCGGACCAGCATTTAAGCATCTGGCTTCTATCTGTAACCCAGGGACACTGTCAAAACCAGAAGTGATGAAGAATGGGATCAGATAGTCTAGTGATGAAGATGAGGATGAAGATGTTTCACCTTCTTATTCAGGACTGGTCACTTGAAAGCAGAAAGAAAGAAAGAAACCAATGGAGAGATTTTTTTAAATAAAATTAAAAAAATTTAAAGAAAAACTGCAGAGTTTAAATTGGGATTAGTATCTTTTTGTTCATAATGGCTGTTATGTCTTAAATAGGTTGGTGTGATAGCATTGTTTCTTTCGGAATTTCTGTGAAACATGCCAACATTCACACATTCAGTTAAACATTCGGTCAGAGATTTTTCAAAATGTATCAATTTTCCACTAATGCAAATGGTCTCAAATCACACTTTGAGTTTTACTTCGAGATATATTTCAAGTGCAATAAAATGCACCTGCAAAGACAAGTTATTACTACTTCAGTTTGGGAAACGGCAATTATCTATATTTCATTCATGTCTACATATCTTAAAACAAATAATGCAGGTAAAAACATTGTACTCAGGGCTACAAAGAATTATATCTTTATTAATCTTTTCTTAGCTGTACTGCCTGTTTTGTGAGAGGATTGTATGCATTAACATTGGACATTTAAATGCCTTTTTATCCTTACACAGTTAAAACGTAGAAAAAACAAAAACAAGAATCTACAAAAATGTGAAGGAAATCATGGAATAGTCCAAAAATTAATGAATTAGCTGTAGAAATGTATTATTGTGTTTGACCCAATGCCTGAAGTGGGAATGAATGGTGCCGGTTTCTTACCTTATTTTCTTAATTAAAATGTTTGTTTAGTGAATGTTTTCTTTTGAGATCTCTATAACCACACAACTGTCTTACACTGTCATGCCATTCCAGCTGTCATGAATTATTTTAATTTGTGAAAATAAAGATGATTTTTCATGACCATAGTGCACGTGGAGTAATGTCTGTAGCTACTGTCACACTTGTCAAATAAAATTGTTAAAAAAATGCAATGTTGGCAAATATTTTTTTTTACCCCATTCATGAAATCCTTCTTTTAATCTTTTATTCAATAAAACATTTATTGACGATACACTCGTATTTAAAAAAAAATTTAATCAGATTTTGACAATCACTATATACAGTGGGTACGGAAAGTATTCAGACCCCCTTAAATTTTTCACTCTTTGTTATATTGCAGCCATTTGCTAAAATCATTTAAGTTA